AGATTAGTTGTGATAATTGTAACACATTCAATCTATTTATGTGTAATCAGATTAGTTGTGATAATTGTAACACATTCAATCTATTTATGTGTAATCAGATTAGTTGTGATAATTGTAACACATTCAATCTATTTATGTGTAATCAGATTAGTTGTGATAATTGTAACACATTCAATATATTTATGTGTAATCAGATTAGTTGTGATAATTGTAACACATTCAATATATTTATGTGAAACGATATGTTTGAATTTCAGTAACTAAAGAGTTGTCCAAAAAAGAAAGAAACTCTTTACTTTTTTTTTAATGGTTGAAATTTCTTAAAATTATATGCATTTATAAAACCATGATTTAGGTTACAAGTCCATGCTGTTGTAGCTCACAATAAACCATCTTGTGGTTTAACATTTTTAATGCCTAGAAAGTTAGCTGTATTAATAGTACCAGAAGTTATTCCTCACAGGAGCATAAGTGGAAGAGCTATAACAGCAGTAAAAGGTTTAATATGAATCATGATTAAGGAGTAGATAAGATTCTATTAATGTTTAAAATTATCTGTGTTGTGATTGTTTGCTGTTTTAGACGTATATAGTGTATATGTTAAATAATTAGGTTGTGGCTCCGGAAGACAGCTATGAAGTCAAATTGTGTGTTGAGGAGGCTGCCGTCACTGTTTTGGCTGAACAAAATGTCACTGTCACTGTGACCCTGACATCACCTGTCATGAGAAAAAGTGGTGATGATGGAGCAAGTGCTGGTAGGACAACAGTAACCCATTGCTGGTTTACTGATAGGCTGGATTAATTAATTTTATAATAACATTATATGCATTTTTATACGAGTAAACCAACAGGATTTGTAAGATGAAGAAATGGTCAGAATTTATTACATGTAACTATACTAGCGTATGTGTGTAAATGGATTGGGTATTTCAAATTCTGAGCAGCTCATTGTGATAAAGTTATTTACTTTAGATTGAGTCCAAAGTAGAATATATATTTTTTATACAATAAAAGGTGCAGAATTTTTGGATTTTTTACTTAACCTGATTTTCATTTCTGGAAAATTTTCTTTAAATTATAAAACTATTTTAAAATTAAAAATTAATTTATGTTCGTATGTTTTTGAAAGCTAAATTTAATCCTACCTCTGTCTCCAGAATAATATTCTTATAACTCAACATTTTTAACTGCAGAGCACTGTTAATGGTTTAGCTAAACAGTGATGGAACATACTTACAAAATAATACTTGTTCACATAACATGGATCCATAAATAAATGTCTATCTGTATTAAAGTCAAATGTTAACAAAAGATATATTTGTTACCACAGTACAGTGTGAAAATCCTTATACATGTTGCTTCACATAGGCCAGTTTTTTGTATTTATTAATGCTAGCTTGTTTTCTGTCAATTAAAATAGATATTTTGATTTTGCATTCCATCTTTTTGCTATATAGAATTTGTGTTCAATAACGGGTCACTTGTTTGTAGTACATTTATTATATATATATATATATATATACCAGTACTGTGTTGTGTAATTAATTACACTAGTGGTACAGATCATTTGTTTATAGTAGATTATATATATACCAGTACAGTGTTGTATAATTAATTACACTAATGGTACAGATCATTTGTTTATAGTAATTATATATATATATACCAGTACAGTGTTGTGTAATTAATTACACTAGTTGTACAGATCATTTGTTTATAGTAGATTATATATACCAGTACAGTGTTGTGTAATTAATTACACTAATGGTACAGATCATTTGTTTGTAGTAGATTATATATATACCAGTACAGTGTTGTATAATTAATTACACTAGTTGTACAGATCATTTGTTTATAGTAGATTATATATACCAGTACAGTGTTGTATAATTAATTACACTAATGGTACAGATCATTTGTTTATAGTAATTATATATATATATATACCAGTACAGTGTTGTGTAATTAATTACACTAGTTGTACAGATCATTTGTTTATAGTAGATTATATATACCACTACAGTGTTGTGTAATTAATTAACTAGTTTTGTTAAGGTTTTGAACATTTTTGTACCTTCTGTTCTATGGTTGTGTAAGGCTGATAGAGGCTCTGTTTATTACACATTAGGTAATAACTAATGGTATGCAACATTCTAGTACAGACTATTTCACAATTTTACTTTGAGAAAAGGGGCTAATTTCTGCTTGTATGCTGCTAAAATGTTTGAATTAACCCACATTTTAAAAGTTTTTCCTGTTTTTTTATAAAATGTTAGGGTTACTTTTCAACAACATCAATGCATTTTCTTAAACTTTTTAGCACTCAGCTTGCCAGTTTTGATGTAATATGTTAGGATGTACACCCAACTTGCCAGTTTTGATGTGAGATGTTAGGATGAACACTCAGCTTGCCAGTTTTGATGTAATATGTTAGGATGTACACCCAACTTGCCAGTTTTGATGTGAGATGTTAGGATGTACACCCAACTTGCCAGTTTTGATGTGAGATGTTAGGATGAACACTCAGCTTGCCAGTTTTGATGTGAGATGGTAGGATGAACACCAAACTTGCTAGTTTTGATGTGAGATGTTAGGATGAACACCCAGCTTGCCTGTTTTGATGCGATATATTAGGCTGTACACCCAACTTGCCAGTTTTGATGTGAGATGTTAGGATGAACACCCAGCTTGCCTGTTTTGATGCGATATATTAGGCTGTACACCCAACTTGCCAGTTTTGATGTGAGATGTTAGGATTCATCCTAACATCTCACATCAAAACTGGCAAGCTGGGTGTTCATCCTAACATCTCACATCAAAACTGGCAAGTTGGGTGTACAGCCTAATATATCGCATCAAAACAGGCAAGCTGGGTGTTCATCCTAACATCTCACATCAAAACTAGCAAGTTTGGTGTACAGCCTAATATATCGCATCAAAACAGGCAAGCTGGGTGTTCATCCTAACATCTCACATCAAAACTGGCAAGTTGGGTGTTCATACATCCTAACATCTCACATCAAAACTGGCAAGTTGGGTGTACATCCTAACATATTACATCAAAACTGGCAAGTTGGGTGCACCCAACTTGCCAGTTTTGATGTGAGATGTTAGGATGAACACCCAACTTGCCAGTTTTGATGTGAGATGTTAGGATGAACACTCAGCTAGCCAGTTTTGATGTGAGATGTTAGGCTGAACACCCAACTTGCCAGTTTTAATGTGAAATGTTAGGATGAACACCCAGCTTGCCTGTTTTGTTGCGATATATTAGGCTGTACACCCAATTTGCCAGTTTTGATGCGATGTATTAGGCTGTACACCCAACTTGCCTGTTTTGTCTGTTAATCTTAACATCTCACAAGAAACACAGAAAACAGTAGTTTAAACTACATAGTTTCTTAAAATCTGGTTTTAAGTTTGAAAGATTCTTTCATTTATTTTGATGAAAAAAAAAGGAGATTCGTGATTAAAATTAGCTGCAGTGTAGGTAAACGTTACTGATAGTACGTGTAATTGAGAAGTACTGGCGCATTTATTATTGTGTAGTTGATCATCTTCTTACTAACTTTACAACAACAGTAAAATTATGCAGAATTACCTTATAGCTCTGTCAAGAGAAGAGGATTTGTTTTCTTGTTTAATAACTCATTACATTTTTTAAGAAGTTGTACGAAATATTTATTTAAAACAACTCTTCTTAACAAAGGATTATAAACAAAGTTACTTTATTATCTGTTGTAGTCATTGGCAAACCTCTTCCATCCATATAATACCCTAGTTGCCAATATTTTGTATGCTTGTCTTGTACCTTAATTCGTCCGTTGTTTTGCTTCTAATACCCTGTTTTTAAGCGTTTTGTATGCTTGTCTTGTACCTTAATTCGTCCATTGTTTTGCTTCTAATACCCTGTTTTTAAGCATTTTGTATGCTTGCCTGAATCATCCTCATATTTTCACAGAACAATATTGGGCTTGTTAATAAAATGCTTTTTCGGAGTAACTTGTTGGATTCTATTTACGGCTATAATGTCAAAAGATCATACATCTAAAACATCAGTCCTGGCATGAATTGATGGTTAGTGTGTTCAACTTCCAATCTGTTAACAAATAGGCTCGCCCTTTTCAGCCTTTGGGGCATTATAATGTGATGGTCAGTCCTACTTTTCATTTGTAAAAAAGAAGCTTAAGAGTTGGGTGTGGGTTCTGTTGAGTAGTTGCCTTCTCTCTGGTCTATCGTTTCAAAATTAGAGATGGCTAATGCAGATAGCTCTTGAGTAGCTTTTTAGAAGTTTATAAATTATAGCTCAAACCAAACTTTCTAGATATATGCAGAGAAAATGGATCATGTAAACTGATAAGAAAGTAAGCAGGTTGAAGTTGTAAAGGCATTGCACCATAAAGACTTAAAAAGAAAGTAGCTCGGGAATGCGTTAAGCTTGTAAACATGCACACATTGTTACAAAAGACATAAAGGAAAAATTATTGAAGTTCAAATATAGAAACCCTGAGGGGGGTCAGTATTAAGGCATATCAAAGCTAAGAAATAAGGTAATTGTACTATAAGTTCAGTGGTTTGTATATTGTTTGCTGATCTAAATGTTCACACATTATTTTGTAGTCAATCGAGAGACACTCCAATGCATCAAATATAGTTTGAACAACTACAGTGTTTAGTAACATTTGTTCTACACTCCTGTAGTGTGAATACTCAGTTATTACTAGGCTTTTCTTTCAATCTTATATTTTGAATTTAGAACTTGGTAGTCATCGAGCTGCTCAGATGTTTTATGGAGCTGAAAATTTTATTAACAAACATTTTTGTTTTATTGTTGTGATATAATCTAAGGTTACCTGTTGGTTGACTCTGAAACAGTGATTGTTTCCTCATAAATGATCAGAAATTATGATTATATTCATAGGAGAGAGAGAAAAACAATAGTTAGACCAGTGAAGCGGCTGAACAAACAGGATACTGTAGGATGTGAGGATTTCAATGGTTACAGCCATAATGGCTGGAGCCGTAATTTAAAAACAAAACTTTCATATTAAGTAATGTGTTTATTAGCTGTAACTCCTGGTTTAATAAGTCCATTTAAAGAATTGTTTACTTTGTATAACCTGTATTTTTTGTCCAGTCCAAATGTACAGAGTCAGCAGTCCTACTTTTAGTACCAACTTCAACAAGAGTGAAGAGTGTACAGAATCTGTAGCTGGGAAGGTTATTTGATCTCTACACACTGGGCACAGTGTTTCTCGGCATTACTTTTTTGTTGTGTGATTACGTAAACATGTTTTTTGCAGGTTTTTATTTTTTTCAATTACCTCTGCATAATGACTGTTAAGTTGAGAACCAAGCATTTAATATTTGTCTGCTATTTTATTTTAATTATCTTTAATAGAAAATAAACAATACTTAACAACTTTATACAATTAGTAGTTTGAACTCAAAAGTTAAGTTACTTTCAGATAGGTACTTTCTCTTCCCAAAAGTGTGTTTAGTATAAAGTACTCCATCATTTTGAGATTTTTGTTGTTGTTATAACAGTATAGTATTTTTTAGATCAAACATATTGACACCAAACATTAGGTGTAAAGTATAATAAAGTTACAGTAATTAATCATAATATTTGGGGATTAAGTTTACTGGCCGATACCTGTCTGAAATTTAGAATGTTAAATTTACGAGTTGTGAAGCATTGCTACCTGTCACTTGTTTTGTACTTTCTTAATTTGAGATGCACTGTGTCCATGGGAGGTCAAACACCCTTCATCTGGTGTGGCCCTGCCATTGACCATCTTCTGTCATCTGATTTCTAGAGAATGTAAAAGACCCACCGGATGTGTTGGACAGGCAGAAATGCCTGGATGCCTTGGCCGCCTTGAGACATGCCAAGTGGTTCCAGGTTTGCACAGTTCTACTTTTCAGCCTCTTGTCCATGTGCTTCTCATTTGTTCATTACCTTTTGTTCACTTCCTGCAGCAGGTAGATATGTCATATGAACACTGCTGCCATCTTTAGGCAAGTCTCAGTAACATTCTTCTGAAAACTTAAGTCTCAACAATTCTACAATCTTTTTTAAACGAAAAAATATATATTATTTTACAAATATCAAGCTTTTACTCTAATGTTTTAGGAAATTAAATTCATCAAAAATGTGTCTTAACAGTATTAGTGTCTGTAACATACGAGGTGGTTTTTATGAAGAATGTTTTCCAGACTTGTCTTTGTGTAAAATCACATTTCTTTTAAAGAACAACATAAACAAGCACTAGTTGAAGGGTTTGTCTGTTAAGAGTGTGTTGTACCATGAGATGTTGTTCAGAACACATTTCCCTGCTGTAGAGTATGGACTGGAGGTCAAAAAATGACCTGATCTCACTGCACATGAGGCTGGAAAGTCATAGGTCACAGCCAGTTCAAATTCCACCTGTAGTAATCACGTTTTAAACACACGAAGCCCGAGTGTTCATACAGATGCATAAAGAATGCATGCTTAATGTTTATTTTATGCCTCTGGAAAGATATTTTGAAATAATATCTTATGTATCATGATTGAATTTGGCATTAGTGTAGTACAAGACAAGTTTGTAGTATCATTCATATTTGTATAAAGATGTAACAGCCAATAAGAAAGAAAAGATTATTGCTCAATTCTAATAGGTTGGAGTATTTAAAGAAAATAGCCTAAGTATAATAAAAGCTTTTTGCATCTAGAAAAGGAAAACCATTATAACTGCCAAGTTCTTAATAAACAAATACATTAATGTATATGTAATATTAGTGAAATTATTTTGGTATATAAGAAGCATGCATTCTTCTGGTGTTTAGGTGTGATTTTATTCATTTCACAACTTCCACTCGATTTAAGGAAACAAAAACGTACAGGTTACAACAGTTGGGAATATTACTAAAATATTATTTTCTATTAATATTAAAACATAGAAACTCAGAATGCATACTGACAAGTACATCCTAAACACAATCTTACCAAAATCATGATAGAAGTTTATAGGTAATGTGTAGGAGGAAGGTTGTCCAAAACACCTAATAAAAAAAACAGGTTTTACTGGCAGTATCTGACACTTTTATCTATAGATACACGTACAAAAATGCACAAATTATGTCTGCTGCTATTATTGATTCTAGGTTTTAAGATATTTTCATTCATCATGGAAGTTTTTGACTTACTAGTGCAGGTAGACTTTAACTAATATTTCATAGTGTGTGTATACAAACAAATTCAGATAATTATAGAAAGCCCGTTAAACCTTCAAAAATGAATCGAAATATCTGATATTTACAGGTTTTGTATTTTTTGTAGTTATCTGATTTTGTAATAGACTCCGTGCAACCTTGCATCTGAAATGTTTGTTGGTTATGAACTTGTTCGAGAGATTAGATCTTTTTAATTTTTTCATTAACATACTTAAGTGAATGTTAACTTTTAAAAACATTCACAGTTGTTAAATCTTCAACTCAGTGTTAAAAAAATAATTTATTTCAATTAATTAACATTCAATGAATATTGATTTATAACTTTTTTTTTCTTTTTCTCCAAATGTAAGGTAGTCAACATACACTATCCTACCAAAAGTCATGGAACAAGAGTAGTTATGAATAAAACAACTCTCTATTCCAAGAAATTAATAGTGTGTTGGCTTGCATTTGACCTTAATGACTGCTTCATTGAATCGTGGAAGACTGTCTATTAATTTCTGGTAGAAAGCTAGTGGTATTATGATCCACTCCTCTTTTAAAGCATTGTTAAGCTCCACTACTGAAGAGGGCCATCTTGGCTTTGCCCTAATTCTGTGTTCCAGTTCATCCTAAAGATGTTCTATCAGGTTGAGGTCAGGGCTCTGCAGTGTTATTCTCTTCAAACCATGTGTTCACAGTCGTTGTTTTGTGACAGAGAGTGTTATAATGTTGGAAGGTGTAAGGGCTGGTACCATAAAATTACCACAATGTAGGGCACACAGAATTGTTCAGAGCATCAATGTGGGACTCAGCATTTATGGATTCATGCACTGCAACCAGTGGATACACTTGGGTAATAAGCGTTCATCAGGCATCCTCCATATCATAACACTTCCATCATATTGGAAGAGCATGTAGCATGACTCGTCGCTCCACAGGACTGAATGCCATTGATCTATGGCCCATGTTCGGTGTGCCTTGCCCCATGCCAGTCGATGGTATGTATTTGTTTTTTGTTATCAATGGCTTGTGGGCTGCAGCTCTTTCATGAAAATTCATGGCATGCAGCTCGTCGTGTCGTGGAAACACTTGTAGGATTGCCTGTGGCTGCTAGCATCTCCAAACACAGATTCTCTATTCTGATGGTGAGATGAGGTAACCAGCCCTTTTCAAGGTGCGTCGGTTCCTGTCTGTCAGTATTTTACGCCTACGTAGTTGTTTCTTGGGCTCATTGTCACCTGTGGACTTCCATTTCTTCAGGACGTTGCCAATTGTCGACCTGGGAATGTTTAATTGTTGCACAATAGCACGTACAGACATTTCCCCCAGATGACATCCAACTATCCTTCCCCTCTAAAGCTGTTAGCTCTTTACATGTACTCGTCGTTCGGTGTACAAGTTCAAAATGACTTCAGAACGAACTACTGATCACCTTTATAGGCCAAAATGTTTGCATATTTCATCGTCACACCCGTTTTCCCGCAGTCAGAGGTGTGTCCCATGACTTTTGGTAGGATAGTGTATTTGATTGATTGACAGTTCTAACTGTGCTCTTCTCAATGGTCTATCTTATTCATATAAAGAATAATTCCATTAAAATGATTAGAAATATACACATTTTTTAAAGATGTTTTTTTTCTTCTGGTTGAGCTGCACTTATTTTATTTGTTAATAAAATTATTATACTTGTTCTTTATATTTTTCGATATTTATAACCAATGAACTCTCTAGGCTAAAGCCAGTGGTCTTCATTCCTGTGTGGTGGTAATTCGAATTCTCCAAGATTTGCGTCGACGGCTGCCAACTTGGGGACGACTTTCTAGCTGGGTAGGTGTGATGTTATCTTAAAACAGCCGACGCATGATTCTATTAAAAATTTTAACAACTTTCCTAACTTGCTTCAGTCTATCTTATTTTGTAAATATTTTCCACTTGTTTTGCCAAAGTGAATTGAAATAGACAAGACGTAAAATTGATACGTTTTGGATTAGTTATTAAAAAGGAATATCAGAATAATAAATGTTTGATTATATTTCTTATGATATATAAAACTTTTATTCCCATCACTTGTTTATGCTTTTAGTGAAAAAGTAATCTTTTCAAACCTTCCAGATATGACTACTGTACTAACATAATAATAAGGGTTAGTAATGTTATAAAATGTGTAGTTTAAAGCCTCCTGAGAACAATATTATTGTGTTATAATTTTAAAGTAATACATTCAGAATATTTAAGTTGTGAGATGGGTGCTCATATGTTTGGCTTAGTTTTTGAAATGGTATACTCTGACAAACATACACTTAATTTGTTTTTTTTAAACAATACAAGTAACTTTATATTTTCTGTAGTTGCAAACATTGATACTCGAGTGTTGAGTATTATGCTTCCTGAGATTTCTTAGATTATAATGTAGTGTTTCATATGAAGAGATCCGTCTGTTATTATTTTACATCATATTTTATTGTTTTACCTAATCTTACATTTCCATTATTAGGTATTTTCAATAAGATAAGTAGTTTTAGATAGGGTATCCTCGTAGCACAGTATTTAATTTGTATAGTGAATAATGTTCAAGCTCTCAGTTTCTGAAATGGGTTTATAATAAACCAACCATTAACATGAGTTGTTTTTTAACTAAGTAGGTTTGACTGTGTTATTCATTGATTTGGTTAACTTGGAAGCCATTATTAATAACATAATACGAACAATGAAATCATAAACCAGCTAATATATAGATTAAGTAAAATATTTACCATTATACATGATCACGTTAAAAAAAAAGTCCTAGAGTATTTATATTCTAAGAACCCCAACGTTAATCTTTTTTAGAGAAGCTAAAGAAAATGAAAAATAGCCTTTTCTTGATATCAGTTAAACGGATTAGATAACTAGTTTACAATATCTGTTTATTGTAAGAAAACATGTACAGGCTTACATACTCGTTTTAAAGGTTTATTCCGAACTCTCTTAAATATGATCTTATGCTCGGTCTTCTCCGTAGAGCATATGGCAACCATTGTGGTTACCCCTCACTTCATTCTGAAATAATCACGTTAAAGAACATTCTAATAAACAATGACTGTCCCTTGAATTTTTTCCAAATCCTAACATGTAAATTCCTTTCTAACAAAATTGAACACCCAAGAAACCATATATTATAGGAAAATACCCATCAAGACCGGTCATTCCCCTTTTCATAAGTAAACACTTTTATGCTAAAGTCACAATCGAAAAAATAATTAAACCTTTTTATCCACAGGTTCAACTGTGAATGATACTTAAATCTACACAAACGTCTTTTCTGAACCCTTCAAATCTTTGTTTTTAAAAGAACAGTATAATATACAATATAGTTATACGCATTTAGACCAAAAATAGCTTTTATATCCTGAAGGGACCCAACCACTTGATGTGAATGTAAAGTTGTTTATTGAATGTCTTCCCATTTTCTGATAAGTTTACTTTATTCATTTGAAATATTAACCTGACAAACACTGATAAGAAAACTTTATAAACATCTCGTGAATGTGTGTGATTGACATACAATGTACTTTTTTCAGGCGATGGAGTTGCTTGTAGAAAAAGTTTTAAGTAGTTCCCAGTTGCCCCTGAGTTCTGGTGATGCTCTCCGTAGAGTGTTCGAGGCTGTGAGTGGAGGCATTCTGTTACCAGGTTAGTCTTCTTTTGATAAGAACAAAACTAACCCAAGTTTTAGTATATTGTGAATCTAGGTTTTACGAAAAAATTTAACTTGTCAAATGATATGCTTTGTTTATTATAATTACCAAGCATGGTATTATTGAAATACTAAAAACAATGAAAGCCAGTTACAAGGAGTGGCTTATGAATAGCAAAACATAAAGTACACATATTCATAAATTTTTAATAAATAAAGTATGCTAAATGTAAAATATTATATTAAAAACTTCACAATATTATTTTGGAGGGTTGTGCGAAAATAGGTTTATATTTTACCTAATCTTAATACAAAAAACTTTTCTTAATGTGTAGGTGGTCCAGGTCTTATGGATCCTTGTGAGAAGGACGCAGTAGATGTAGCAGATTTGAACAACCAGGATCGAGAAGATCTCGCTGCTAGTGCACAGGTGATAGCTAAAATGTATTTTAAATATCGGGCATTATTGATTAATTAAAAGTTTACATAATGAAATAATTTAATTAAACAACTGTGCTTAACTTTGTAGTAAGCTCTTAATAATATTTCTGTCGTCTTAGAATTATTTTTAAGCTACGGAAAATTATTTGAAAACAGGTTGTTTGAAATTATAAGGAAGGTTAGTTGCTCTTTATGAAAATTTTCTTCTAGGTCCTAACAGTGCTTAATGTTATACCATACAATTTGGTGAACTCTAGAGAAATTCAACTCAATATAGACATTGATTTTTAATACTGTGTTTAAGCAACCCGTGCATGATTTCACAGATACTGTGGAGGAGGAGATAAGCGTGCATCAGTTTCATTCTCTGTGGTTAAAGAAACTTCTACACAATGTGACTTTATCTTGAGGTAATATAACTGTGGCAGTATTCCACTGTCAGGAGGAGACAAGCATACATCAGTTTCATTCTCTGTGGTTAAAGAAACTTCTACACAATCTGACTTTATCTTGAGGTAATATAACTGTGGCAGTATTCCAATGTCAGGATACAAGCATACATCAGTTTCATTCTCTCTCTGTGGTTAAAGAAACTTCTACACAAAATGTGACTTTATCTTGAGGTAATATAACTGTGGCAGTATTCGACTGTCAAATGTTCAGTAATTTGCCATGAGTCAAATACAGCTGCTAGACTTGTATTAACTTATAAAATGTTATTCTGTCCCCTTGTTTCTAGCAAGCCCTTCGATTGATGGTATTTCGACAAGTACATAAAGTTCTAGGAATGGATCCACTTCCTCTTCCTAAGTTTGTCCGTGGACGTTTTAATCGAAAAAGACGTCATAACAGTACTGGAGAAGAATCTAAGCAAGAAGGTACAGCCTTTGTAGTAATTTTTGTTGTTAAAAGAGAATAAAACCTTTAACTATTGAAGTAAAATGAGTATACATATATCTGAGTATGAAAATGATTTTTTTCACTTACCCCTCTTCTCATCCAACAACATAGCTGTTTTTATCGCAGCTTGTCACTAGAATATTCATTATTAAAATTTGGTAATAATGACACAATATATGATAATTACATAGAATTGTTTGTATGTATTTCAGGTCAAGCTTTATATTCTGTGATTATATTTTTTTGTTTTCTCTGATACTAGGAGTGGAGGGAAAAAAGGTTAAAAAAACAGTGACCAAGTACAGCCTGAAACGTTGGCAGAAGCAGCTGTACAAGAATGAAAAGATGAAGTTTATACATGAAATTGTTCTTGTCAGTTATTGCACTTACCAGATTAGACACTAAACTAACAGTTGATAAAAAACAAAAACATATTGACTGTTGTAGTTCAATTTATTTTATGCTTGTGGTATTTTGTCTGGTTTGTTGTTTTTAATTTAATTTTGTAGTTTCATAACCAGAATATCAGCATATCTGTTTGAGAAAGATCAAATAATGAACTCTCTCCTCGACCTTGAACAAAAACTGTTTTAAGCATTCCTTCACTTTATTTCCAAATCACTTGGAGTTCGTGTTATTTTTTCCAGGTCATTTGGAAAAGCATAAGTTCTTTGAGGGTAAAAGTTTGTTTCCTTCAAGAAGTAGAAAATAAAATGTTGAGAAAAAGCTAGCCATATTGTTTTTTTTATTCTAAGTTTCACTTCATAATCAGGGGGGTGTAGGTTTTGAACGAATTCTCTGACAATTACAGCAGGAATAAAGGCTCTAATTCCTATTATTTAAGAGACAAAAATGTGTACTACCTTGACTTCTAGATCATCAATAAACACTATTGTCCATATGTTTCACAACTCTTTGGCTATCTTTCCAGCAACTTCTTCAATTCTCACTTAAAGTGGATTTTTTACATTACTCCAAACTTTTCATTAAGTAACCTCAAGTTTGTTTGATTTAAGCTAAATATTTTAAAGTCAATTTAACAAATAAATTTGAATTAAATTCGGGGCTATTGTTAATATAATTAATTAGATGAAGGATCACAATCCTTTAATGAAAATATTTCCATTTGCCACTGTATGACAAGAAGGAAAAGCGTTGCTTAAATATTTTGACAGGAGAGTGGGGTTCCTATTTATCTAACATTATTGACCTGGTAGATAAATGATCTTCGAGTTAAAATGAAATGTAACAACAGCAACATATTTCAGATCATTTTTTATTATCAAGTAAACGTGGAATATACTATGTGTAAGAACATAAATTCAATGGGAGTTGGCCAAACTTTGAACTCCAAAAAAAAAACTCGCTCGTTAAGGGGTTAATATAAAAAAATGTCCCCCTGTGATCGTATACATTTGTTCATAAGATGTTACTTATACTAACATTTAATGCATTCAGCTGTGAATTTAAAATAAATGGGTTACGAGGCAGGGATTAAAAAACTGAAAATGTAGAGATCTTAATCGGTTACAACAAAGTAGTAATTTGTACGTACATAATTTAAGGACCCATTTACAAACTACTCGTGATGGGTTACAACAAAGTAGTAATTTGTACATACTGAACTAACAGAAAATATGGCTTAAAAACTTCAGTAGTTATTTGTTGCTTTGGACACAATTATAATTACGTTAGCTGTTCCAAAATTGATTTACGAGGCTTCCCTAATGTAATGGGTCAACGAGTTGTCGAAATAGTCTACAAGGCTGTCGTAAGTCTTACTAGACTCAAGTTTAAGCAAAAGAAAAGAACATCAAATTCATTTGTTTGAGAAAAAAAAAGAGACCTAGTTAAGGCCTAGCAAGAATTATGACATTCTTACTGACTCGTTGATTGATCCAAACATCGACCTTGCGTTATGGCTTGCCCAAAACAAGCATAAAAAGTTTCAAGATTATTTTTTATTTTTGGAGCGAATGATGTCTTTCCATCTGCTGTATAAACTGTCCCAATCTGCCTTCCATAACTTGCGGAGTAATATCCAGCCTTTTCGTGAAGTTTGTAGCACGTACGAATTTGTTGGATCCATGTAGTGGGTGTAGGCACCCATCACAAGAGACTGACAACAACGTGCCGCCATGCAGACCTGGAAAGAACGGAACAACAAAACGATATTAAACTGAAAATGTACTAATGATTAATCTTGAAGAACTTTGTGTTACGACGAATTTCTATTACCGGATGATTAGTATTACACCGTAAAATGTGTTTTACAATGTTATATTAACACTATTCATTGTTGTGTGTATTATTTGAAAGAAAGTTTCTCTTAGGTAAGACAGTCGAGTTGACGGGAAGCTTTACTATATCATATAATATATAGCGGTAATTTTAAAACTGTTCCGTGGAATATCCACGATTCTGCAGGAGTTCCCCCACAACAATACGTAATGGCGGATTTTTTCTATTATTGAATAGTAGCCCGTTAGAGACTAAATATACTTTTAAAATTAATCATAAGTCAGTTTGTATTCAGTCTTAATATTAATGTATATTGTTACAACAGCGGAAATCACGCGACACTGAGATAATGCGCGCTGGAGTTTCTAGAAGGATCGTGACTTAGCGGTCAACCTCACGAATGTCCCAGCGTTTGCTAGACGCCCTCTTTTTTAGTATATAAGCCGGAGATAGATAGAATTGAGGTAAGCGAACAGTAGGCACCGTAAGTAAAGTGTGTGAATTATAGCGTGTGTTTATAAAAGTAGTTAAGGTTAAAGTGACTGTGGAAATTAAGTGTATTACAAAGTCTGTAACGAGAAAGAATAAACTAGTTTTAATTAAGAAGGGATTTGTATCGCTGAAGTTTCCCGGAGAGAATTTTTACGGGAAGTTATCAAACAAGCAGATACGTAACAATATTTATTTACAACTTTACATTGACAATATTGTTACGAATTTAGTCACTTTCATCTAGGGTAAGTTAAAGGCTTGAGTTCCGTGAAGGAAGGAATCAAATAAGAGGGTTCCGTGGCTTCGTAACGCTTGAAAACTACTGCTCTATGGCAATTTGAACGAATACATAAATATTGTTTTTGTTCTTAAAGAACTTTTAATCATTACACATTTGTTGATAGGAAATTAAAACTTGATTTTCTTTTTTCGTGGTTGTTATTTTAGGGTTAGGATAAAAAGAAAACACGAACCAGCAAAAGTGACGATTCTTCCTCGGTAAGAGTCTTTTCAGACAGGTAACCAGCGAGTGCGTGACCAGCAGCCATTAAAGGGTCCATGGTTGTACATTCAATCATGGCGTATGCCATCATCATTGCTACATCAAACATCAGTGGTGCCTTATGAATATCCCCGAAGTCCAAAAGACCATAAACTTTGTATTGCGGTATTTTACTCTCGGCATCAACAAGTACCAACACGTTGTTTTCGTTAAAGTCACCGTGAATAATTGCTAGGAGTAACATGAAACAAATAGAAATATTGTGAAAATAAAGGTCATCAGAATGCATATATAATGTTCAAAATCTTTATATGGGCTTGTAATTCGAATGAAAAGCTCTTAAGTAGATCTGATAGCACAAAACCACTGATAATTTTTAACAGTCTAACTTAGTAAATAAATAAATTAATTTCAGTAATGATATTTTATACTTATATGGTCCAATTCGTAGGTTTTAAATCTGATAATGGAAATCTCGGCCCCAAACTTTTGTATTATAACATATAATTCTTTTTAAGGTAGCATCTGCAATTCTAAATAATGATGATAATTTATCAGTGCTAAAGTTTTACCTTGGGGAAGGGTGTCCACTGTCGATAAAACTCTGTTTTTAAACGCTTCGATAATATCCATAACAAGTTCTCGTTTTTCTTTTTCTTCTGTAGCAAACATAAATTCTTCGATAGAAGGGACCTTGTTCAAGCTCCAGATAGAGATTCGGGATTCTAAAACCTTGCTGTGAAAACCCTGTCGGTGAAAGAATACAAAGGAATATTAATGTGATTTGGGTGCTTGTCTCATCTTGTGCATCTGGTTAAAGAAAGTCAGTAACTTTCTTGCTACCAAATTAGCAAGCGATCTTTCGTGGCAGTGCGGTGGCCCCAGCTATTAGATTGAAGTACCCCTAACTTGATCTTTATTCACCTAAGTACCCCCCTCCCCCATCTCTTGATAGTAATGCGATTAGGCCTAGGTCCGTTCAAAGATTATTCTTAGGTATAGGCAAACATTTAAAATGCTCCCCCCCCCCCCACAATCCCACCTATATCTATCTTCTTTTTTTTTTTTTATTCAGCTGTACTTCAAGACAATCCTGACTATATGTCCAGGAGCCAGGGCGAATGAAACCTGTTTAAGCCATAAAGACCGCAAAGCACCTTTAGGCTTATCTTCATTCATAAAAAGCATAGTTTGGCTTTTCTTTGCATATAGACGCTTGCTACAATAAGAATGATTGAAATAATAATTTGAACAATAATTAATATGTATTTGTTACTTTGTAAATTTAATAGATATCTGTTGTTACTTTATTAATGTTTTTATTCTTATACTGTGAGGTAAAAACGGCTGCTGCTATGATTTTTCCTTGTTTATGAGCTCGTTGCTGTCCTAATTTAGGATCTTATTTTTAATAAATTCTTTAAAATGTTAAAAGAGAGAGAGAGAAAGTGGGACCGGCGGAGATGTTTGCCTCGGAGCCCGTGCTGGCTCTCGACGCTTTTTTTATGTCATAATTGCCAGGATTTTATCAGTTTAAAATTTCATATTCAGTATTTAAAAAATATTCATTAAAGTTTCTATGTTGTTTTCAAAAAGAAAAGGATAATTCTTCCTACGATTCCTTTTTCCGGCCCACTCCCTTCTTCCCGGCGTAAATATATAATCATAACTGTCACATTAAATCTCATTAGTGTCTTCTGAATGTCCCCATAGGTTGCCTGTCCCTCAGACCGCCACTGATCAGGTCTAACAATACCGATAATATTTCTATCATTTTTACTCATTATTCACTACTAACCAGTGGCGGCCATATATGGTATGCAGGCTGTGTAACGCACAAGGGCCCACCAAGTTCTAATCCAAACAGATACCAGTATTCTACCGTATATAATCATACTACATTTGTGTAGGGAAGGGGACCCAAAATTTCTCCCGTACTAGAGTTCACAACTAATTATGGCTGCCGCTGCTACTCACTGTGATGCATTTCTCCTTATGTTATTATTATTACAAACCAAACAATTAGTAACTTTTGACTATCATACAATTATGTTGTCTCAGACGTTTTTAATTATGATACTCATTGATTGAAAAGCCTCGTTTTATAAAGGTTCACTACCTCTATTAATAGTAACGAATCAACTAAGACTAATTATATATAGAACGTTTTCAAACTTATTACCTGAATACACGAATGAAAGCGACCCAAAAACTGACCAAACTGGAAAAGTACGTCTTCAGTATAAGGTACGTTGATCATTGGTGTGCCAGGTAAAAAGGTAAACAGCCGGACTGCAAATTCATCCAATTGGGTTCCTGTATCCCGTAGTTTGTAAATATCACAACCATTGCCACACTACACAATCTCACAATTAGTGAATAAACTAATAAATTTGACTTCTGAGGTTTTAGCTTCGTTGTTGTCATGGGCTATTTTCACTAAATGTAAAGAACTGGTTAATATCGCTGTAACAAACATGAAATATGGTTTTAGCTAACACCAAATGTCAGTACTTTAAACCGCATGCATTCCGGTGAAACAAAAAAGAACACTGTTTTTTGTTTACATTCCCATAAAGACTTTCCTTGAATGATTAAATTATAAGAAGATTATTATGAGGACGTATGTCAAACAAAAGTATATGCAAGATAGTCTCCAAAAATGATAAAATTCGTAGCACCATCCCTGTTGCATTTCCCTCAGGTAAAAAACAAAACTAGTCTTTGTTTCGTTACATTAAACTTTCGGATTGAGCAAAAAATTAAAAACTCCCATTCGTAAAGTACAGAAATTACACAAAAGACACACACACAGGCTTATATACTGTTACGTCTCCGTTTGTTAATTAACTTTCCGTAACTTCGTTCCGACGAAACTTTAGCGACACAAGTCTTTACTTAATAAAACTGGTTTATTCTTTCCGAAT